GAAAAATAGTATATATATATATATATAGGTATGGGTGTGTGTATATATGTATATATATATATACGTATGTATACATGTGTATACGTATGTGTATGTGTGTATATATGTATATACACGTATGTATACATGTGTATACGTATGTGTGTGTATATATCTATGTATATCAAATTTAAATGTATATATAATAAAATCTTCGAACTATAGAAAATTTTAATCCAATACTTAGAATAACTTATCCCCGTTAATTAATACTGGGTTTTAAGTATTTTATATTTTGAACATTTTGTTCTTTATTTAGATTCTGACATAAGGTTGTCCATAAAAAACAAAACAAAAAACTTAAATGATGATGTATGCTTGAATTTCAGAAATTATCAGTAGTAGAATCTATAGATATACGCGTGGGATGTATTAATGGTATGTAACTTGACTCCATTTTTTAATTCATAGAATGTGACCTACACTTGAAGTATATGACTGTGAGCAGAAACACATTACCAAAAGTTTACTAGTGTTATATTCTTTTGTGCTTTCTTAACAGCTTTAATGCACGCTGTCGTTTTTGGGAACGTCACAGCTATCATTCAGCGCATGTATTCTCGGCGATCACAGTATCAAACAAAACTAAGAGACTTGAAGGACTTTTTCAGACTACACCGAATATCGAAGGAGTTACAGCAGAGAATGATAGATTACTTCCAGACCACTTGGTCTCTAAACCATGGAATTGATCTAAACGAAGTAAGGAGCGTTCCTTTAGCTTGAACACATATATATATATATATATATTTATCTGAAAGTTTGTTCAGTGTTAATATAAGCAGCCATTTTGTTCATTAGAAACAACCATCCTTGTAAATAAATTATCTGAAAGTTTGTTCAGTGTCAGTACAAGCAGCCATTTTGTTCGTTATAAACAACCATCCTTGTAAATAAGTTATCTGAAAGTTTGTTCAGTGTCAGTACAAGCAGCCATTTTGTTCGTTATAAACAACCATCCTTGTAAATAACTTATCTGAAAGTTTGTTCAGTGTCAGTACAAGCAGCCACTTTGTTCTTTAGAAACAACCATCCTTGTAAATAACTTATCTGAAAGTTTGTTCAGTGTCAGTACAAGCAGCCATTTTGTTTGTTAGAAACCACCAGCCTTGTA